CTAACTAAACGGGATAGGCAGAAATTAAAAAGAAAATAATAAAACCAAAAAGAATGAAAGGACATCGAAGGAAAGATTTCCAACTCTTTCACAACAATTGAACATTTCTAAAATCAAAAAGTTAATTAAAATAAATGAAAGTAAAATTAAAATAAATAAAAAACGAAATAATAAACTCAAAGCAACAAAACAAATAAAAAAAATTAAAACAAATTAAAAAACTAAATAAAAAGAAAAAACAAATTTAAAAGATTATTAAAGAATTAAATAGAATTAAAATGAACCAAAGAAAATAATTAAAAGGATTTAAAAGAAGTTAAAAGAATTTAAAAGAAGCTAAAAGAATTAAAAAGAGGTAAAAGCAATTCAAATAAACTGAAAGGAAATAAAAAAGAATTCAAAAGAATTAAAAATAAATTAAATGAAATTTAATGAATTAGAAATAAAATATAAAAATGACTCTTTCTGTTTTACCAGCGGCAGCAAAAATGTCTTGGGGCAAATGTTGAAACTGAAAAGAAATAAGAAGAAAAATAGTTTAAATTAAATTAAATTAAATTAAATTAAATTAAATTAAATCAAATTAAATTAAACTAAATTAAATTAAATTAAATTAAATTAAATTAAATTAAATTAAATCAAATTAAATTAAATTAAATTAAGTTAAATTAAATTAAGTTAAATTTACTAAATCAAAAGAAATAAAAAAGAAGCAGAAAGTTCCCTTTCAAGTTTTGAAATTGAAATTTTGATTTTTGAAAGAAATAAAAAATAATTAATTTTGGAAAATGATTCAAATTAAAACTGTTAATTTCAATTTTAAACAGTTAATTTAAATTAAAATAGTAAATTTGAATTTATGTAATTAATTTAAGTTGAAATGATAAGTTTGAATTAAATGCAATTAATTTAAAATTAAAACAATTAATACAAATTAAAATAAGCAATCAAAAAAACAGTTCAAACTAAACAGTTAATTCATATTAAACAATTTATTTAAATAAAAAGTTATTCAAATTAAACAACTGATCTAAACAAAACAATTGATTCAAATTAAAGAATTAATTCAAATTAAACAAATCAAAACAAAAAATGATTTATCATTTAATTGCTTTTCTGCTTCTTCAGATTCAATTGAACAATAAATTTAAATTGAACAATTAATTTAAATTAAATTAAAAATTTTAAACAGAGAGTTAAACAAATGCTTTTAATTTTAATTGCCTTTCTGCCTCTTGGGATTTAAATAAAACAAATAATTCGAATTAATCAATTTACAATAAGTAAATTAACAAATTAATTAATTTAAAATAAATAACAAACTAAATTAAATTAAATATATTATTAAATAAATTAATTGCCTTTCTGCTTCTTGGGGTTTTCCTTCTCTTTCCAATTAAATCAAATTGATTAAATTAAAATAAATAAATTAAAATCAGAAATATAATTTTAATTTAATTGCCTTTCTGCTTCTTGGGATTTTCCTTCTCTTTCCAATTCTCTTTTCTTTCTTCTCAAATTCCGAATCAGCAGATCTTTCCTCGTCAGCTGTACGTACACCGCAAAAACACCCAGAAGCCCCCTGCTGCTGCCGCTGCCGCTGTTGCTGTATTGCTGCTGCTGCTGCTGCTGCTGTGTTACTGCTGCTGCTGCTGATGCTGCTCATGTTGCTGCTGCTGCTGCTCCTATACTGCTGCTATACTGCTGATGCTATACTGCTCATGCTGCTGGAAGTGCTGCTGCTGCTGCTGCTGCTGCAGCTGTAGTGTTGCTGTTGCTGCTGCTATATTACTGCTGCTCCAGGGTAGGCAAACAGCTACACAGCTAGCTAAAGAAGAATGACAGGGGCAGCTAGCTAGCTAAATAGGCAGCTAGCTAGTCATATGGGCAGCTAGCTGCCTAGGCAGCTAGCTAGCTGTTTAAGCAATTGGCTAGACGGCTAGCTATATCAGCAGCTAGCTGGCTAGTTCAGCAGCTAGCTAGCTAACAGGCAGCTAGCTAGTTAAAATAGACAGCTAGCTAGCTCGCTAGTGACAGCCAGCTACAAGGTTCATCAGCTAGCTAAATGCATCCAGCTAGCTAGCTAAATGCATTCAGCTAGCTAGCTAAATGCAGCCAGCTAGCTAGCTCAATGCAGCCAGCCATCTAGCTAAAAGCCAGCTAGCCAGCTAGGTAGCTAGCTAGCTGGCTAGCTAGCTAGCTGGCTAGGTAGCTAGCTAGCTAGCTAGCTAGCTAGCTAGCTGGGGAGTTGCGTGGGGATTACTTGCTGGTGGTTGCGGAAATGGTTAATTCTTTGTTGCGGCTGAAAACGAAATCTGTCGAAAGTTTCGGAAATCCAGTCTTTGTCGCACCAGAAGAAGTCCCAGTCGGTTTCGCTGTCGCAGCGGCAGAGAGGGGAAAATTGGGGAAAATAAATGCAAATTGAGAGGCAAAAGAGATGTCTAGGGGTCCGAAATCGAAACTAGTTTATTTATTTGAAGTTAGTTTTCAATTTAATTCAAAAATGGCCGAAAAAAAAGCCAAATTGCACATTTTGGCGGCGAGGACGCAGCTGTCGATACACCCGAACGGCCCACTCGAAATTTCTCTATTTTGACTTTTTTTGATCCTTTTTTAACTCTATTTGTTTATTTATTGTTTATTTATCATTATTTATTATTATTTATTAATTATTTGTCCTCTTTTGCCATTTATTTGCTATTATTTGCTTTTTTCTATTTGCCTGTCCGTTTCCTTCCAACCTCTTCTCCGCAACACGTCAAGCATTGTGTTGCGGAATGAACAGCGAAAACGAATTTGAGGCCTAAAAAGAAATTAAATGACAAATAATTAATAAATATTTATCTATTTGTTTATTCAATTATATTATATTATATTTATATATAATTTGATTAATTATTTGATTAATTAATTAATAATTGTAGAGGAGTAAATTAAAAAAAAATTAAAAAAGTAGACTGCAGATGTGAAAAGAAGGAGAGCAGGAGTTGTCTTTAAGGTGCATAAAATGTAAAAGCATAGTAATTAATTATTTGATTTAATTTTAAATAATTAAAAAAACAACCAAATGAATAGGTGATCTGAACAAATAATAACAATAAATTAATTAATTAATTTAATTTTGAGTAATTAAACAAAGAGGTAAATACATAGAAGAAAACTGTAAATAATAATTAGTTTATTGAGTTAATTTCGAATGATTAAATAAAGAAATGAACAAGCAAATAAAAGGCAAATAAGCAATAATATGAAAAGGAGGGCAGCAGCTGAGTAGTATTTGATTTAATAAAAATAAAACAAAAGATTGAAATAAATAAAAAATAAAAAAGCAAAAACTTCATTTTATTTTAAATTCTCTTTTCTGCACTTTGGGGTGTACGTGCACCTCAAGCCCAGCTTCTCCTCCGTCGCCTTTTTGCCATTTGCTGCTGTTGTCATTTTTTATTTTTTACTTTATTTTTTATTTTAATTGTTTTAATTGTTTAAATTAGTTTAATTGTTTTTTAATTGCTTCTTAATTGTTTGATTCTGCTGCAGTGAACAGCAGCACTTGTTGTTCTTTTTAATTTGATTTTTTAATTCTAATTTTGTTTCTTTTGTCTCCGCGCGCAGCTGCTGCGTTGGCCCTTCTGAATAGAAAAGAATAAAAATAAAAAAATAAAAATTTTGCTTTTTTCTTTTGGATAAATGTAAAAATGGAAATTAAAATTAAAAACTTACGAATAAATAAAAGAGAGAAAATCTTTTGCTTCTATCTTTTGCTAAATCTGAAAATGCAAATTAGAATTAAAAAATTGGTGCAAAAGAAGTGGCTATAGTAGACAAATAATAGCAGCAGCAGCAGCAGCAACAGCAGCAGCAGCAGCAGCAGCAATCAGTGGCCTTCATTTAATGCAAAAAATCACAAAAATACAATTATCGGAGGACACAATTAATTCAAATAAAAGTAATAAATAATATCAAAAATAATAATACTTATAACTTTAACAATAGCTGCTTTTGTTAAATTCGCTGGTATTCTTGCGGGGCATTTTACTTATGATTTTTATTATTTCGTGATTATGAAAAAATGGAAGAGAAGAAAAGTGCTTTTCTCTGAAGATAATGGGCCTTCAGAAGCAGAAAAAGAGCTTATTTTGGCGTTAAATAATTATTATTTTGCATTTATTTGTTATTTATTTCTATTTCCCTTTTTATTTCTCTTTTTTGTCGTTTTTCTTCGTTCAAACGACCTGCTGAGGTGTCTAGACACCTGGCAGTGTGGCTCCTCGCGCTGGGGTGTATCCGCACCTCGAGACAGAGAAATTGGAAGCGTTGCATTAAATGTTATTCTTTTCTTTTATTTTTGCGTTTTTGTCTTTAATTTGTCTTTAATTCCTTTTTGTTTTCACTTGGACGCAATTCGAGGGGGTCTTAGCAGCTGTTGCTGCAGCAGACCGAGCCGGCGTGGCTGCTGCTGCGGGGGGCCGGGGAAGGCGGAAAGCAAGCAAATAAATGCAGATTTGAGTTAATTTGTTTATTTTAATTAATTTTTAAATTAATTTTCCTTTATTTAAATCCATTTTGCATGCACGACGCCCCTCACCGACTGCCGACGGGGGGCCCCGGGGCCTCCGCGCCGACCGCCGAACACGCCGGACTCAGCCGCAGCTGCATGCGTTTCTTTCTTTTATTTAAAATGCGAAATTTGTTTCTTGTGCAGCTATAGTTCTCCGCAGCTCGAGCTGGCATGCATGCAGCAGCAGCAGCCGCAGCAAAAGCAGCAGCAGCCGCAGCAGCAGCTGCGGCAGGATGCTGAAAGCACTGTGAAGCAGAGGAACATCAGGGAAAATAAATTCGGATTTATTAGCTCGTCACCAAAGCTGCAACCAGCTTGCTTTTTAGACCTTTGCTTGACGCTGGCTGCATAGTGCTGCTGCTGCCGCTGCTGCTGCTGCTGTTGCTGCTGCTGCTGCGGAGGTGCCTCGTGGGTGTCTACTGCTGCAGTGGCCCGCAGCAACATGGCGGCGGAAGTTGCATGCGCGATCAGCAGCAGCAGCGGCTGCTGCCCCAGCGAGAACGTCGAAGGCGGGGCTGCAACAGCAGCAGCAGCAGCAGCAGGCGCAGCAGCAGCAGCAGCAGCAGCTTCTGCTGCTGCAGCGGGGGCTGTGGGGGACTTTGCGGGGACTTTGGGGAAGCTGCGGTCGCTGCTGCGGCGCATGCACTACCCCGCCGCAGCAGCAGCAGCAGCAGCAGGCAGCGAGTGGTGCAGCAGCAGCAGCGAGCAAGCAGCAGCAGCAGCAGGGGCCCTCCCGTTGCTGCTGCCTATTCTCCATTTTGCTGTTTGCGACTTCAGCGCAAATGTTAATTTCTTTTTGCAAAGCAGAGGCTTTCATTTTCTCTTCAAGTCTGACAAACGCTTCGTAGAAGAAGTTTGGAAATTCCTAGTAAGACCTGCTGCTGCTGCTGCTGCTGCTGCT